AAGTAAGGTAAGGTAAGGTAAGTAAGTAAGTAAGTAAGTAAGTAAGTAACGTAAGTAAGTAGTAGTAGTAGTAAGTAGTAGTAGTAGAGAGAGAGAGAGGAGAGAGAGAGAGAGAGAGAGAGAGAGAGAGAGAAGAAGAGTTAGGAAATGTAACAGGAGTTTAGTTGAGAGAAAGTTGATTAGTGAGTGAAGAATCCAGGCAAGTTGCAGAGAAGAGGGAGAGGGAGAGGGAGAGGGAGACTTGACTTTTCTCAGGTTTCCTGTCCAAAGAGGAGATGCATAATTACGAATATGCCCCCAAATGAGCTCCCGGGTCATGACGTGCAGTCCGCGTCGGCAGACACTCAAGTTTGAATGGAATTTTGTTTCGAATCAGTCGCTTGGCATGGTTGCCTTTCCCCTTTCCTCATTGGTCCACAGCTCATCCAATCTGGGCCATCCATCATCGATCACCCCCTTCTCCCTTCCCCTCCCTCCATTTATTTTTAATTTTTTATATGATTAGGTGCGACCAACTATATGATATGATGTACCCTCGGTTCACACGTATTCCAATCCCGCGTATGTTGAAATGCGGGCTTTTTAATAATTTTATTTTTGAGATGGATTTTAAGACTTAATTTTTAAAGATGTGTAAAATTTCAATCATGAATACGAATAAAATAATAATTCTAGTAAGAAAACATTCCAATAGTTAGTTTCTATTGTTTTTGGATGAAACACTTACTTGCCTCCATCTTTAAATGGATGCTCTACTTCACCCCCACAAGTTCATTTATGATATTTGGATCGGCAATCTAGATCTGGTCTACATTAGTTTGAATTGGTGAATACACAAACTACTAAAAAAATAAAAATTAAAACTGGAGTTATGTTATGGGATAGAGATTTAGAAGGGACTCAAAAAATATATGCTATAAGCATTAAAAAAAGCAAAACGATATATATGAAGTGTTTCTGGGAGGAACTTGTCCTGGACCCATGCCATCTCAAAAATGGACCGATTCTCATTCAAAATGAGATTCTCATTCAAATCAGTAATCTGGATTGGATATCACCTGATTTTAAAGCCGTAGCCCATATTGAATTGGAGCCGTTAAGAACACATCGTTCCATGTGCGAGGTGGTCGACAAAAACCTTTTCTATATGATATAATTCAAGCCTCCCAATAGACAAACTTCACTGTATTTATTTATTAATTATACGTACGTTATTCTTTATGCATATGAGTGTGTCAAAATTTAAAATGCATAGCACCAAAAATGTGTTACAAGATATAATTATGAATGTTTGTAAATTTTTCCAGCTCTATGAGGCCCAGTCCCTACTAAGGGTAATCGGCCTAAATTGGCATTCTAACAAAATGACAGTTTTTTTGTGAAATCAGCCATTGAGCCTTATTTTTCGTAGAGATCAAGGCAGAAGGAAGAATTTTGTATAGAGGACTGCTGAGTTTGAATAAACCAATCATCATCATCATCATCATCATAAGCTTTTTTTTCCCAACTAATTCCAAGTCGATAATTGATGTGTCTCGTGGAAGCGACCCCCATCATTGAATTGAATTGAATTGCAAAGTGGTTTTATGATGATGCGATCGGAGCGGTACAAGTTTAGTTTGTGGCTATTTGCCCTAAACTAAATGCTGTGCATCCCCCAACTCCACTTCACCACCTCTTTTCCAATCCTCTCCTTGTTGGAACAGCAACCTTATTTGCTCTAGCGTTTTCCCTTTTGTCTCGGGAACGAATAGGTATACAAAGGCCACAGAGAGGGCCGAGATGGCTGAGAATGTAAAGAATGTGCCGGACACCGAGATGGCCCGGGACACCGACAAGAAGGACATGGCGACCAGCCCGCTGCACACACGGTTTCCCACGGCACCAAGTGCTGATGCCTGTGCCCGCAGCCTCAATGGGAAGATCTCCGATGTCACCACCCAACAAATTGGCCCGATGCCCACCGAGAAGAAGGCCACATTCCCACACACCGCCAATATTGCCAGAGCAATCCCGATCTCGTTTGGCCCTGGCCCTGGCCCGGACCCATGCTTGAGGAGTAAGAGCGCCATCCCCAAACCGAACAAACAAGCAGTCATCCCCACAGTGCTCACATATAGCAGAGGCTTCCTCCCAACTCTATCGATCAAAAACATTGCCACCAGAATGAAGATTGTCTTTGAGAACCCCACAGCGATTGTGGCAGCGAGAATGGTTCTCTCACTCTCCAGACCTGCCTCCTTGAAGATGGTCGGGCTGTAATACACGGTCGCATCTATACCGGTGATCTGCTGGAAGCATTGGATCCCGACACCGGTTATTAGCATCCTCCAGACAATGGGTGAGGGGCTCATGAGCTCCTGCCATACCGCTTTCTCCTTGTTCTCAATTGCAGCAGCCTCCTCTATCTCTGCCAACCTTGCCTCGACCTCAGCCTCGTCCTCTGTGATCCTCAAAAGCACAGACCTTGCTTCCTTGGCCCTGTTCTTCATCACCAACCATCTCGGGGACTCCGGGATCACAACAAGTGCGAATGCAACAAACACCGAAGGCAGGATCCCTATTGCTAGCATGACTCTCCAGCTGATATGGACGGGGAGACCCGAGAATGCATAATTTGAAACATATCCGAGAAGGATACCCAGGTTGATAAGTATCTCAGGAATGGATGTGAGGGCTCCTCTGCTCGCAGCTGGGGAAATCTCGGCTATGTATATGAGAGCTATCACACCTCCGAAGCCTATGCCTATGCCGGCTAGAAGCCTTCCGGCCATGAGAAGTGAGAAGGAAGGGGCCACAGCCATGAGCACCACCCCCAATTGGAAGACTATGGCTGCAAGCCCCATGGTCCATTTCCGGCCTATGGCATCGGAAGTACGGCCGCCTCCAAGGCTGCCCACTAGTGACATGAGGCTTAGGCAGCCGACGAGGACTTCTACCTGCACCTCTGTGATCTTGAGATCCTTCTGAATGAACAGGATGGCTCCACTCATAACCCCTACATCTGCACACACATGCCAAAATGGATTCAAATTCATCAAAATTTCAGATGGGTTTTCGAATAATCAACCGTGGTTCATTCACACCAGTGCCAGGAGAAAACAAAAAAAAAAAAAAAAAAAATTAATCTATCCTGCTTCCAAGTTTTCTTTCTTGTCGCTTTTACTTCTCAAAGGAAAGAATTTCAAGATGTATGAGGTGCAAGTGATTAGAGCAGGCAATGGGAGATACAAAGAAAAACAGGGAATCCAAGTTTTTAAAAAGATGGGGGATGAACTTAAAGCAAGAAGATGAGAGAGAGAGATACCATAGCCGAGAAGTACAGAATTGAAAGAGGAAAGGATCGCACATGTAATGACATATGTGTTAGTGCTCTTCTTCTTATTATTGGGCTGCTCCACATTTACTCGTACGTATTTCACTTCCTCTTTCAATCCCATCTCCCTTCTCCTCTCTCACCCTCTGAACGTACTGCCAACTCCTTGAGCTCTCAACACCAACCCATCTTTAGATTCAGGATGGAAGAGAGAGAGAGAGAGAGAGAGAGAGGAGGGAGAAGATCTTAGATCCGAGAGTGGAAGAGAGAGAGAGAGAGGA